ATGGATGAGTTGGATTGGGTTGGGATGGGATGGGTTGGATGGGTTGGGATGGGATGGATGAGTTGGGTTGGGATGGGATGGGATAAGATGGGATGGGTTGGGTTGCGATGGGATGGGGTGGGATGGGGTGAGATGGGGTGGATGGGTTGGGATTGGATGGGATGGGACGGATGGATTGGGATGAGATGAGACAGATGAGTTGGGTTGGGCTGGGATGGGATAAGATGGGATGGATGGGTTGGGTTCAGTTGGAATGGGATGGGGTGGGATAGGATGGGCTGGTCTGGATGAGTTGGGTTGAGATGGGCTAGGATCGGATGGGATGAATTGGGATGGGGTGGATGGGTTGGGATTGGATGGGATGGGACGGATGGATTGGGATGAGATGAGACAGATGAGTTGGGTTGGGCTGGGATGGGATAAGATGGGATGGATGGGTTGGGTTCAGTTGGAATGGGATGGGGTGGGATAGGATGGGCTGGTCTGGATGAGTTGGGTTGAGATGGGCTAGGATCGGATGGGATGAATTGGGATGGGTGGGATGGGAAACGCAATTCAGAGGAGCGCCAGAAGAGCCTGGTGCTTCCCAGGGTGGGTTGATCAGATCAGTTTGGGGTCACGGGTGCCCACTGAGCCCTTCAACACGTCCACCCGACAGTCGTTCCTCATTGACCTCGGCGTGGCCGAGCTGGATCGCTTTGACGACCGTGAGGCACTGATCTTCCGTGAGAACACGCTGGCCACCAAGGCCATCGACGAGTACATGAAACTGGTGGGGGGCAAGTACCTCCAGGACACGCTGGGTACGGCTGAACGTTACAGGTCTTTGTGGGACATTAGGGGGTGTAGGACATCCTGGGCTTGACGTTACAGGGTGCTATGGGACACTTTGGGGCTGCAGGACACCCTCAGAACATCCATGGGGATGTGGTGGAGGTTTGTCACTGCCATCCCCGTGGTGGTGGCCGGTTGGATCCCTCATGGGCTGTCCCTTGGTGCCCAGGTGAGGTCGTGGCCCAGCTCTGCACCTCAGATGATAGCTGTGAAGTCGATCCTAGCAAATGCGCCGGCCTTGACCTCTCCGACAACCAGAACAACCTGCGGCAGGTCTGCGAGGAGACCTTCCAGCGCATCGCCACGTCCTGCGAGTGAGGGACAGCACCTGCGCGGGCATGGGGTTGGGCATGAGGTTGGCCATGGGAGTGGGAACCTGCACCGGGATGGGTTTGGGGATGGACACCAGCATGGGCAATGGGACAGGCATGAAGGTGGGTACCAACACTGGGAGGACCTGGGGAAAAGTTTGGAGATGGGCATGTGCACAGGGATGGGCTTGGGGACAGGAATGTGCAGGAGGACAAGTGCTGGCATCAGGACAGGCATGGGGATGGGTTTGGGGACTGGCACCAGCCCTGGGATGGACCTGAGGCACCAGGAAGGACCTGGGGACAAGTTTGGGGACAGACATGGGGGACAGGGATGGGCACCATCTCTGTGATGGACATGGGGATGGGCACCAGGAAGGACCTGAGGACAACCTTGGGCAAAAGCACAGGGGACCGGCATGGGGACAAGCGTAGGTATGGTGGGCACAACGTCCCACAGCACATCATGGTGGCACACAGGGGGTCTCCAGGACCACCCATGCCCATCAAAGTGTCTCTCCCCACAGCACCTTCCCGGCGGAGCTGGGCGAGATCTTCGCGGCGTGGCAGGAAGAGTGCGCGGCACGGGGCAAGGCGCCCATCGGGCAGCGCCTGGTCTCAGCCTCCCTCTTCCTGAGGTTCCTCTGCCCCGCCATCATGTCCCCCAGCCTCTTTGGCCTTGTCCAGGAGTACCCGAGCGAGGCCACCGCCCGTACCCTCACCCTCGTGGCCAAGGTCATCCAGAACTTGGCCAACTTCACCACGTACGTCATGGCAGGACATGGCAGAAGCACCGGTGGGGTGGGACATGTCCATGAGGAAGCGATGGGGCAGTGTGGCATGTCATGTGTGGCACATGCCATGGACAGTCATGGGGTAGTAGGGTTGTCCCCAACGTACCATGGGGCAGTAGGGTTGTCCCCAACATCCCATGAGGCAGCAGGGTTGTCCCTTCAAATCCATGGGGCAGTGGTGACATCTTCTACATGCTATATGGCAAGCAGAGACATCTCCTACGTGCCATGAACCAACCATGGGGCAGCAGAGAACATCTCCACTCCACGCGTGGGGCTGATGTGTCCCAGCAGCAGAGTCTCAGGTGTCACCTGTGGTGGCCTGACCTACGGGTGGCTTGGTCTAAGAACATGGCAGTGTCCTCACCCATGTCCTGGCGAAATGGTGCAGGGACATCGCAATGACTTGGTCCACCATCCTGCAGGTGGTCTGGTCCATGATCATGGTGGTAGCCCAGGCCATGACCTGGTCCCCAGGTAACCGGATATTGTGGTCCCCAGGTTTGGTGAGAAGGAGGCCTACATGGGCTTCATGAATGAGTTCCTGGAGCACAACTGGAGCACCATGACGGCCTTCCTGCAGAGCGTGGCCAACCCCGAGAGCAGCATCCACATGGCCACCTATGACGGTTACGTGGACCTGGCTCTGGAGCTCGCCACTCTCCATCTCCTGCTCTGTGACATCTTCTCCAGCCTGGACCAGGTGCCACCAACCCATTTGTCCCCAAGGGTAGCTGGCAAGAGTGGCCACCTCCTTCTTCCCACATATAGAGCTGGGTGTCCACTGCCCCGTGGACGGCACCTATTTTCCCATAACATCCTTGTCTTCTCCTGGTAGGCCACGCAGGAGGAGCTGGAGCCCCTGCCCACCATCCTCACTGCCATCAGGGAGGGGACTCCTGTCCCCGTCTCCGTCCGTCTCAGCTCCACCACGGAGCGAAGGTACCGGTGGGTGAACAGAGGGCCACAGGGGACCAAGGTGGACACGTGGGGCGAGGAGAAGCTTTGGTAGAGGGGTGACACTAGGGTGGGTTTGGGGTGGTTCTGGTCCTGGCTGGGTGCAGGTCTTGGTTGGGTCTAGGGTGACTCTGGTCCAGAATGGGCTTGGAGTCACTGGTCCCAGTTGGGTTCAGGGGATGGTTTTGGTCCCTGATGGGTCCAGCAGATGGTTGTGGTCCAGGCAGGGGATGGTTCTGGTCCCAGTTCAGGGGATGGTTCTGGTCTGGATTGGATTTGGTGGATAATCCTGGTCCAGGCTGGGTCCAGGAGATGATTGTGGTCCCAGTTGGATTTAGGGGGTATTTCGGGTCCTGACTGGGTTCAGGGTGGTCCTGGTGCTGGCTGGGTTTGGGGTGGTTCTGGTCCAGGCTGGTTTTGAGGATGGTTCTGGTTCCGGTTGGGTTTGGGGGATGTTCCTGATCTCAACTGGGTTTGGGGTCCTTCAGATCCAGGTTAGGGTCAGGAGATGGGTCTGATCCCACCTGGGTTTGGGGTGCCTGTGGTCCCAGTTGGGTTCAGGGTGGTTCTGGTCCCTCCTGGGGCCAGTATCACCGCGGTATCTGGCCACGCCATCGCTCCATCTCCCCTCGCAGCACGGCGGAAAGCTTCAAACCAGGTTTTGTGCCACCACGGGACCTGAGCAAGCACAGTCCCCTCATCAAGAGTCAGTCCCTCATCAGCATCCGTCGTGTCCGAGGTCGGGAGGACGGACCGGAACCAGAGCCATCACCAGCACCGGTACCATCATCGCCACCCACACCCAGAGCGTGCCGGCACAGAGCAAAGCTGCCCGACGCCTACGCAAGCAGAGTAGCGCCGAGCACGTGGCGGACCCACCAACCGAGGACAACTCAAGGTCCCTCGTCC